TGCCAGATAGAGTGCCAGAAGATATGGCAGAACATATTGCAGAAGATATGCCAGGTAGAATGCCAGATAGAATGCCAGAAAATATGCCAGATAGAATGCCAGAAGATTTGCCAGTAACAAAACGTATAGATGTCATGGTGGGGATAACTCGAAGTAAAGCAATAGTTTTTCAATTCCTGCCAGTTCTTCGTTGATGATATGACATCCCGTGTAATTAGAATTGTTAATGCATTTTGGTATTTTTTTTGTGTTGCTAGTAATCCAAAATCAATGTGGTTGCTGATGTTCTCGTTCGTTCGTTGAAAAATAGACAGCATTTTTCATCAGTTTCAACATATCTCTTTCAAATTCACATTGTGTTACTTCGTTTTTCCGTGTTAAAACCCATCCATGGTTTCAACCAACATCTCTGTTTAAATTTGGCCCCTTTATGGACTTTTGTTAGTGTCATGCCTTTCGTTAAACAAAACTGTAGAATTTGATATGAACCACATAATTTGTTTTGAATTGTTGGTTTAATATGAGTTTTGGTTGCTTCTCGTCCCTTGTTTCCTTTCCATTATTATAATGTATGTATAAATCCCTCTGGTGTTTTGATTTTGATACAATGTTATTGTTCAACCTTCATGTTTTTGGGAACTAATGGATAATCTGACTGTTCGTCGTGTATCTCCTTTTTGGGTATTCAAACTCAATTTCTAATATGTATGTGTTGTCATCGTTTTCGTTCCAGTCCATTATCATTTTTCTGTTAACATGATTTTTTATCCATTTCAATTTTTGTATTGGTAGTTTCATTGACATGGCCAGTCCGTAAAGTTTATTCGCGTCCAAGTAGTTGATATAATTAGACCGTTTGTTTTCATCATAGTCGTCCATCATCGCCTCCGCTTCCTTATGACTGACCTGACACATCCCACCCCTGAAACCCTTCTCTATCATTTCATACATATTTTTATCACTTAAGGGGCCTATTTCAATCCCAGTTTTCAACAACATATCGTCCCAAGCAAAGTTAGGCAATGTAAAGTAATGCGCGGGTTCTAAACCGTAGTATTCCAAACATAAGCCTCTAAAATTTTTCAGAAGCATCAGTGAGCAACAAAACACCGGTTCTCAAATACAAATCGTGATACTGTCCGAGGTTTTTTATCCCGAAGTGTTCCCATATTTTAAGTGTTTTTTCATACTCATCATCTTCAATATGATTTTCGGTGAGATTGCTGTAAAAGGGTTCTTTCGGTGATGCAGTGCAGTTGTTTTCCCTGAATGTATCAAAGGCACCTTCATCAGTCAGTAAATCTAAATTCTCGCCATTACTCGCATATGTTTTTTTCTGACTAAACTTGATTTTTCCCAGTTTTCCTTTATGTTTCCTTTTTCACATTTACTCAATTCAACCCGTTTGTCCGAAGAAAATGATAAGAAAGAAAAACCGTCCTTGAAACAAAAATGTTTCAAAACAAAGGTAATATTTTTTTTCGTTGTTCAACGTTATTCGCTATTACATCATGTCTATTTCATTTCTACCGTTCTGCGATGCTTCATTCGCCCTCTCAATGATTAAATGACCGTCGTAGTTTTGTAGATTATGAGGGAAGACTGGGTCTTATTTGTAATAGCGCATTGAAAATTGTAAATTACAATCGTCGTGGGCGCATCCCCTGTATTCACATGTAAAGTGGCAGTGGTCGCGAACGTTGTTGTCGCCTTTTTGAAACTCATTACCACATATAAAGCATGTAGTGACGGTTTTAAAGCCTCTCCAGTCATCAGCCCTGATAATTATTTCTTTATTTTTTCATCTTGTTCATAATCTTATTTTTTTACTTCAACCATTTTTTTGGACGAATACATCCATACAATATTCGCCCCTGTATAGGAAAGGCTCATTGGAATTATCAATGGAATTATCAACATGAATCATAAAACCGCAGGGTCTGTGATGTTGGTAGGGGTCGGTTTTAAGTTCTTTCGTGCTGACCGTTCCTGGTTTGGTTGTTAAGCATGCAAAGTCAGCATATATCACGAATGGAGTTTTTAACTTTTTGCAACCGTTCTTGAAAACCATAATTTGTGTTTTCTTTTGGCATTTTTTCTGTTGCCCTTCCACTGCCATACATCCCTTTTCGGTGTGTTGGTTTAAATGTTGTTGTGATTGAAAGCCACGACTGCAATGAAAGCAATGATACTTCTTTATTTTTTTGGTTTGGTTTCCCATCAACTTGTCATAGTTTTTGATAAACACACAATGGTAGTCGTCTTCGTGAAACTTGAAGGCTTACTTGATGAGTTGTTTTTAGTGTTTTAGTTTTTCTACATAATAGGATTGACTGTTTATTTTCTTTGGGGTTCGGAAAATAAACATTAATTTAATTGTAATTTTGCCTTCGTTGTTTTCTTCAAAGGTGTCTATATCAACATTGGGTGTTAGAACATTTACATTGTTCCAGTTAAGTTCATCATTCAATTTTTCCCCACCTGCCAGGTGAGGGTTGTTAGATTTTATGTCAGTTGCCTCCTCCTGCCTCCTCCTGACTCCTGCCTCGTCCTCCTCCTCATCTCCTCCTCGTCCTCCTCGTCCTCCTTGTCCTCCTTGTCGTCCTTGTCGTCCTCGTCGTCCTCGTCGTCCTCGTCGTCCTCGTCCAACTGCGACCCGCGATCCACAGTGTTCTCTGCCGGACCTCAACCACGACCATCCATGCTCAGTGTTCGCTGCCGGACCTCAACCACGACCATCCACGTCAGTGTGCCCTGCCGGACCTCAACCACGACCATCCCCGCCCAATGTTCCCTGCCGGACCTCAACCACGACCATCCACGCCCAGTGTTCCCTGCCGGACCTCAACCGCGAGTATCCGGGCCCAGTGTTCCCTGCCGGACCTGACCAACGACCATCCACGCCCAGTGTTTCCTGCCGGACCTCAACCGCGAGGATCCATGCCAAGTGTTCCCTGCCGGACCTCATGTAGGAAGATATGGGACAAAGAATGCGCAGAAGAAAGTTAGAAAGAATGTCAGAAAGAATGTCAGAAGATATGCCAGAAGATATGCCAGATAGAATGCCAAATAGAATGCCAGATAGAATGTCAGAAGATATGTCAGAATATATGCCAGAAGATATGCCAGATAGAATGCCAGATAATATGACAGAAGATATGCCAGATAGAATGCCAGATAGAATGCCAGAAGATTTGCCAGATAGAATGCCAGATAGATATGTCAGAAGATATGCCAGATAGATATGTCAGAAGTTATGCCAGATAGATATGTCAGAAGATATGCCAGAAGATATGCCAGAAGATATGTCAGAAGATATGCCAGAAGATATGTCAGATAGAATGCCAGAAGATATGCCAGAAAGAATGTCAGAAGATATGTCAGATAGAATATCAGAAGATATGCCAGATAGAATGCCAGAAAAAATGTCAGCAGATATGACAGATAGAATGTCAGAAGATTTGCCAGATAGAATGCCAGAAGATATGCCAGATAGAATGCCAAATAGAATGCCAGAAGATATGCCAGAAAGAATGTCAGAAGATATGTCAGATAGAATATCAGAAGATATGCCAGATAGAATGCCAGAAAAAATGTCAGCAGATATGACAGATAGAAAAGATATGTCAGAACATATGCCAGATAGAATGCCAGAAGATATGACAGATAGAATGCCAGAAGATTTGCCAGAAGATATGTCAGAACATATGCCAGATAGAATGCCAGATAGAATGCCAGAAGATATGTCAGATAGAATGCCAGAAGATTTGCCAGTAAGAAAATGTATAAATGTCATGGTGGGGATCACTCGAAGCAAAGTAATTTATAGTTATATAATCTGTTTGGGTGGTTTTTCACATAGTCTTTGCATATACCACATTGGACGGAATACTTGAAACATTGGTTGTCTTCGTTTTGAATTTTGATACACGCCTTTTTGTCTGTAACCCATTTGGTAATGGAATGAATTTGCCCCCACGAGTTGGACTGAATTTGTCCATGTTGAATTGCAATGTATCAATTTGGGTTATTACTAAACCGCTCTTTGATAATTCCATCTTACCCATTTGAAATTCAATATCTGTTGCTATTTGGGTTGAAACATGTGAAATCCCTCTGGTGTTTTGATTTTGATACAATGTTATTGTTCAACCTTCATGTTTTTGGGAACTAATGGATAATCTGACTGTTCGTCGTGTATCTCCTTTTTGGGTATTCAAACTCAATTTCTAATATGTATGTGTTGTCATCGTTTTCGTTCCAGTCCATTATCATTTTTCTGTTAACATGATTTTTTATCCATTTCAATTTTTGTATTGGTAGTTTCATTGACATGGCCAGTCCGTAAAGTTTATTCGCGTCCAAGTAGTTGATATAATTAGACCGTTTGTTTTCATCATAGTCGTCCATCATCGCCTCCGCTTCCTTATGACTGACCTGACACATCCCACCCCTGAAACCCTTCTCTATCATTTCATACATATTTTTATCACTTAAGGGGCCTATTTCAATCCCAGTTTTCAACAACATATCGTCCCAAGCAAAGTTAGGCAATGTAAAGTAATGCGCGGGTTCTAAACCGTAGTATTCCAAACATAAGCCTCTAAAATTTTTCAGAAGCATCAGTGAGCAACAAAACACCGGTTCTCAAATACAAATCGTGATACTGTCCGAGGTTTTTTATCCCGAAGTGTTCCCATATTTTAAGTGTTTTTTCATACTCATCATCTTCAATATGATTTTCGGTGAGATTGCTGTAAAAGGGTTCTTTCGGTGATGCAGTGCAGTTGTTTTCCCTGAATGTATCAAAGGCACCTTCATCAGTCAGTAAATCTAAATTCTCGCCATTACTCGCATATGTTTTTTTCTGACTAAACTTGATTTTTCCCAGTTTTCCTTT